ACAATGATGTTTTTTTAATGATAGAAGAATTTCAAATTACAAGTATTCCAAGGTCTGGGCAATGCTTTGCCCTCGTTGTCTTCAAGCCGATATGCTCCATTGCCTAAACTGCCCGTTTAGTGATCAGCAGCAAAGATCCAACTCAAGGATGCCCTCCAGCAACCTGTAACAGAAAGGAAAAGCTCCGGCGGTGGTTCTTCCACTCGGGGGCACTCCGACGATCAAGTCAGTATGTTTCTTAAGGATAATCAAGTATTAAACTGAATACTCAAGGTATGAATTACATACCTTAGACCCACGGGGGTGCCTCTCTTTTATAATATACTTAATCCAAGTCCAACTAGAAATATGACTTCTGTGTACCCCAATCTTAGTACTTACTCTGGACTCTTTAGGAGATAGAGATAAACTCCCTAAGAGGTTTATCCTTATCTTAATTAAGTCCCCTCTTTGCTTCAGGACTCTTGTCCCTTATCTTCGGATTCCGACATCTTCGGAGATGACCTCGGCTTATCCGAGATTACCTCGGCTTAACTACCAGGGCACGTGGCACCTCGGCTGACACGTCGGCGTCACCATGCCACGTGTTGGTAATCAGAAAATATGTCCCCACAATAATAATTCAATTGGTAAAATTAAAACAAATGAATTTTCTAAAATTACAAAAAATTTACTTTCAGTCAACTATAATTACATTATCTATAAAATTCGTAATCATAATTTGTAACGCCCCAAGAAAATATACATGATGATCACAAACATCCATTATTCCATATGACAAACCGAAATAAATCTCCAATGCTTGCATTAAACGATCATGAGGTTTGAACAAAATAGTTCTACATGCGGATATACATTTAATGAAATCTAGCACATGAATCTATATCATGTAGAATATTTAGTCAAAAATAAATAAATGCCCTCACGGACTTACAAGTTCCAAGGCTTAAGTCTGGTTACACAAAACATGATTTCTCAAACCTATACAATTATAGCCTTTGGCTTACAAAAAATACAGTCACAACAAAAATAGAGCCTTGTACTCTCAACACATACATCCATGCCCTAGTTTGGCGGATTCGCCACGCCTTTTCCTACACCAAGATTCTCATAGGGTGAGCATAAAGCCTAACAGAAAATTCTTAACAAAATATATACATTTTATACAATTATCATGAAATGCAATGCACATGCCATGCTATGCCTTTAAAAGAAAATTTCATCTTTATTCCTTCAAAATCTACACGCACAATATGATATTGAAATTTTAACAATTTCATAGTTTTACATCAAATTCACAGGGCAGTAAGTACGACTCAGGTAATCCCTAGGTTGGTGTCTGCAAGTAGATATAACTAGCACTACCAAATCCCCACTTTACTAGTAGCTAACCAGAAGGCATGTGGTACCTACTCTGCGCGTGTTTTCGATCTTTCACCTTGGACAATTAGGCCAACTTAATCAATTTCATCTATGCCCCCTATCCGGACTTACCAACGTATTTACCACAAAACAAAACAATAAAATCTCATTTCACAACATTTCCCTTTTCAAATGCAAACTTTCATTTTCTTTATTCAAAAATTTGGAATAACTAAAAGGATTGAAATGTCAATGCAACAATTACCCATGTAACATATCAATTATCCATGCAATGCAACAATCTTACATTTACAATACTTTCACACACTTGTTCCATTCGTGATCACAATTTCCATTCCCCTTTCCAATGCAATTCACAAGATCACCATATATCCATACAAACCCATTAAGAGCAATACAATTTCCACATTTAAGTATTCTCCACGAATTAATTATTTCATAGTTATGGCACATTTTTCTTTTAATGACAATTCTCAATCAACAACCCTCTTACACTAAGAAATTCCTCATTTCAACATTCATTAATATCATAACATCACCATATTTCTCAAAAGAAAATCTCTAATTTTTTAGGGTTTCCATAAAGGAGGTTTCCTTCTCATAGAAATTTTATTATCTCAAGAAAACATTTTCCAACAATAACATAACCCAAAATCTCAAGGTTTCATATAAAACATTTAACAAACCCGCATTAAAAGAAATATGATGTTCAACTTATGCATTTAAAAAAAAAACAAAGTTTCCATACTTTCCAAGGTTTGTTCTAAATCAACAAAATCTTGCAAAAATGTATATATAACTCTAAGAAAATCCCTACCTCAAATTTGAAGGAGAATGAGATGAAACCCTCAAATTCAGTGGTGTTAAAGCTTGATCTCCACCGCCCAAAACGTAGCCCTCGAGAAGTTATCCAACTTTGGTGAAGGAATAAGGATCAAAATTCCAATGGATTGGAAAAGATCAAGAGTTTTTGGTGTTTGGTGGAGGTTTTTAGAGAGAAGGGAGAGAAAATGATATTTTTAGAGAGAGAGAGAGAGAGAGAGAGAGAGAGAGAGAGAGATGTAAAAAGTGAGCTTTAGTTAGCCCAAGAAGAGAGAAAGACAGAATCTTTCGGACTTAGCGGGGTCTCACACTTGTGGCACCCATTCTTCGCATGTGTGGAGCGTACTTCCTGCACGTGCGACACTCACCCCCGTACGTGCGGTCCTGGTCCCAAGTAGAAAATTTTCAACAACGCTACTCTAGACACCTCGGATCCAACCCTGCACCTCCCGAAGCACTTGAAACTCGAAATCAAAGTAAATGAGAACGAGAACTTTGAAAGTAAGTTTCCAAGAAAAACAACCTAATGGTTAATCAAAACCTCGCACTAAAACCCAACACTATAATGGGAGTAAATCCAACATAATTCAAGAGGGCGAGACGAATAACGTACCAGGTCATCACATAATTCATCCTACAATGGTTTGTCAAATAATATATCAATCTTATCTTCTTTCTTTCTTTTTTTTTGGGGGGGGAGGGGGAGGAGGGGTCTTTCTTCCTCTCTCCCACTCATTTTCTACATCTTTTTATTTTTAAAGCAATGTGACAAAAACAAATTGAAATGAAATATTTATATTTTTATATTTCATAAAATTTAGTTTGTCAATTGATATAGTATGATATATTTTAATTGACCGCAAAGTGTAAGGGTATTTTTAAATTTTTTGTTAAAATTTTATCCCGATGATCAAGCTACATAAACCATGTTAGATTTATGTCAATCAATACAAATTGAAGAGTGTAGCACTTTGAGATTTTTCTCATCGCTCAAGCAAATGTTTGTTTGCTTGAGCGGTCTTTCGAATTGTCCAGTACTTTTAGTCCATAGTTTACGATTTTGGGAGTTTTTTATGTTTGCTCGAGCAGTAGTTTGTTTGCTTGAGCGGTCTATTCCTTGTACAATCTAAGAGTTTTACGCTCGAGCGAAGATTTTACAGATCGAGCTTGGACGCTTGAGCGCTTGTTTTATCGCTCGAGCGGTCTATTCAAAGTCAACTATTTTAGAAGTTACTTTTCGCCCAGTTTTTCTCATTTTTTTTTCTTTTAGATCTTTGTCTTTTCTCTCTCACTCTTTCTGCCATTTTTGAGTTTTCAAACTTTTTAATCCTTGATTTCATCTATTTTTAAACATCTTTACCCCTAATTTCATACATCAAAGCGTAGAGCTTGGCGAGGGATTCCTTTCAATCTGAATGGATCATGTTTTCATTGCCATGGATTTTTTGATTTTTCTTCTCTTCGTTTCAAGAGATATGGATTTCTTTGTTCCTTTTCAATACTTCATTATTGATAGACATGTGGTGGTTTTTATCGCATTAAAAACATGTTTTGTCATGGGAATTTGGATAGACACGAAAGATGTTTAGGGTTTTGATTTTTTAGAACTAAATAATCATGTTTTGGGTTGGGGTGGTAAATTAGGAGGTAGTTAATCACATTTATGTTGATAGTGGTGACAAACCATAATTTGTAATTAAGAGTTTAATAAAACCAAATGAATTAAAGTTGAGTAATTGTTGGACGATTTGTTTACATTAATGAAATAGAGCTTTAGTTGCTAAAAAGAGGTTAATTGGGTCTTGTAATTATTTGGTTAATGTTGTGTTGGGTTGGGATTGTGTATCAACAAGTTGGGATTTTGACAATTAGAAAGAGGTTTTGGCTAATGATTGTGGGTGTTGGAGATTTGGAAGAATGGGATTGGTTTTGAAAACAAAATGATGTTTGTAACTCTTTTGCGAAATGAAATGGAAAATGGAAAGTGAGTACTGAAATGGTTATTTTGAAATGATTTCATTAAAAACGTTAATGAAATGAAATTGTGGAATCGGTTGTGGATTTGAGTTACGAGAGTTGTATATTTAATTGTTAGAGGTTTTGTCATTGGTAATCTGTGGAGGATGACATTGTTGTTGTTGAATAGAATATATGTATGTGTTATATTTATATATTTTCAATGTAATCTAGAGATTGGAGGTCTGTTTCCTGCAGGATGAGGCCAGTAAAGTGTGGCGCCTTGACAAAAGTTCTTTTCCCTTCTTGTTTCCGTCCGATAAAGTGTGAATTGGGATCTGTTTCCTTCCAGGTAGGGCCGATAAAGCGTGGCGCCTTGACAGAGGTTCCCCTCCCTTCCGATTTGCACCTGATAAAGTATGATATATGGGTCGTTCCCGTCCGGATGAGGCCGGTAAAGCGTGTTGTGTTATGTGAATTGTACCATTAGCCCTCCGTGTCTTGGGCTGGTAAAAAATGAAAGTATGTACTGTTTTTCGTTATATACATTTGGGATATATATATATATATATGTATATGTATATTGTTGTGGGTGTTCTATTGCCCTTGTACTTAAGGCCATCAATCAGGTTGGGTGTGTTAGTGGGTGTGTACGTGTGGTAAGTTGGGACGTAAGACAAGAGAGTTGTTGGTGTGTGTGAGCGTATTTTCAAAACTAAGTGTCGTTATGCAATTATTTTGAATAAAAAAAAAGTTAGAAAGAAAAGAAATGGTTTTATACCTTGTTGTGTTAAAGAGAATGATTTGGGAATAGGTACTTATGTAAGTATATTTTGGTTACAAAACTGTCATATTACTTAAATAGTGTGATGTGGAGCATTTATGATAATAGCTATTTGTATGTTGTTATTATTGAGGATCATTTGGGATCTCTACTAGACTTTATATTCATCTCATGTTGTTAATCATTACAAATTAAGAAGTGGTTTAAGGTCGAAGGATCTTCTTTAATTGATAACCAGGGGGCCTTATATTTGTTGGTGGTATGCCATTGTTGTAAAAGGGTTAAGTCCTTTCTTTTTATGTAATAATGTAAGCCTACAGGCATTTCATTTAAATGTAATTCATTTTGCATTCAATGCATATACGAATGAGAGAACTTTTCTAATGTCCCAAGTATATAACCTATTTTATTCTCCTCTTAATCGTGTTTAATGTATTTGGGATTTCAAAACCAATTCATGGTCTCGTCAACTACTTGAGTTCGTCATACATTGTAAATTTCTTGTGTAGTTCTAAACTTGTTCTGGGAATCAAATTTTCATGTTTCGGGTACGGATGAGGGACATAAGTGGAGGAAAACAGCTTAGGAAGCTTAGGATCTCTCCGATGAGCAAACTGCAAGTCTGGGGGAGGGGAGGTGTAGCCACACGTGCGGAAAGGAAGTTGGGATAATGTTTGCATTCTGAGATAACTGTTTGTACAGAAGACACGTGCAGAGAGAGTGCCGCACGTGCTAGAACGAATGCTGCATATGCAGTGAGGAAGTGAATTTTGTGAGTTTCATTATGAATTTACTGCACATGCGGTCAAGGGACCCCACGTGTGGGAAGGTACGGGCCGCACGTGCAGAAACATTGGGAGTCTGAAAATTATCTCTTTCCTTCTCCTTGGGCTAAGTGCATCTAATTTCTATCATTTCTCTCTCTCTATCTCTCTCTCTCTCTAAAACACATTTCTCTCCCTTCTCTTTTCATTCACGCTCACCAAACTTTATTTAATCCTTGATTTCTCCTAATCAATTAGAGATTTGACCTTAGTGCCTCTATCAAATTTGGAGAGCTCATTAAAGGCCACATTTTGTGTGGTGAAGATCAAAATTTGGCACCGTCAATTTTGGGGGTTTCTTCTCTTCTCTTCTCTATAACTTGAGGTAAGGAGTTTCTTTGAGTTATAAATATGATTTTGGCATGTCTCGGTCTATTTCTTTGATGAGATCATTAGATTATGACTTGGGATTGAGTGTGGGTTTTGAATGTGTTTAAAAAGCAGTATTGTCTCCTCTTTCTCATGAAATTGATTTTAGTTTATGAAATGTATAACTCTTGGAAGTCCATTGATAACAATACCTTTTGAAAATGAAAGAAATTTATTTTGGGTGGAAACCTTAAATTTTTAGAAATTGGGAAAAATGTTGATTTTGAGGAAAACTCGTGTGATCATATGAGAGTTTGTTGGGAAAAATGAAGAGAGATCATATGTTTGTTATATTGTTGAATCATCTATTTAATGGATGGACTTTTGTTGATAAATTTTATGTGGATAGTATGTTGAGATACTTGGATCATGAAAATTTGATAGTTATATAAATTGTGAATATGGAATTGTGTCATATGTCACATGTATGTGGATATTAGTTATTATTTGAGAAATTAAGAAATATTGAATATTGTATTTCACATTGGGCAAATCTTGATGAAGTTATATAATTACATTTCATTTCATTCATTTGCATAGCTTTTGAACATTGCTTATTATGGCTATATTTGGAAATTGAGTTATTGTTTTGAGAAAACAATTGATGATCTTGAAATGTTTTGGGTATACACGTCGGTAAGTTCGGATAGAGAATGCAGTTTGGTATTATTTAAGTTGGCTTGAGTGTCTAGTGTGAAAGATTGAAAACACGCACGGAGTAGGTACCACGTGCCTTCCAGGTAAGAGCCAGTGTGGGGAATTTGTAGTGCTTGATATGCCTACTTGCAGACACCAACCTAGGGATTACCCGAGTCATATTTACCACCACGTATTTTATGTTTGGAATTCATAGAGAAAAAGAGTTTTTTTGAAGAGAACATTGCATTTGATTTTGGAGCACGGCATGACATTGCATCCATGTATAAGATTGCTTAAATATACTTTGTTGAGATCTACGTATTAGGGTTTGTACTCACTACTAGTAGATTTGTGTAGGAAAGGATGTGGTGATCCCGTCTAACTGAAAGTGTGTGAAGTGTTTTGAGAGCACAATGCTCTTTTTCTTTGTTATTTATTTTTGACAAGCCAAGGGCTTTACATCTACAGATTTTGGTAACCATCTTTAGTGTAATTGAGCCTAAGCCTTAGAACTTGTAGCCCATGAGGTATTCTTTTGTATTAACTGTCTCACATGCTATGGATTCATGATTTAAGAAGATTGAATATGTATTGCATGTGGTATAACGGTTCCAGTTTAGACCCGGCCCTTATCATGTTCTTAGATCCAGGATTTGATACTCTTATTCGTTGTC